GAGAACGGGAACGACGAAATGATCGAGAGTAGGAGCGAGTGCGGGAAGAACCCGATCTTGCCTCGGAGTAGCTATACAAACTTCTACTGTAAGATGAAGCACTGCAGGGAAACCTGGACCTTAAGAAAGACACAACACAGTAAAAATAAATGAAATTAACTCAAAAGAGTAACTCTCCCCAATTTTTTCCCCTCCCAAATTTGGTTTGGCTTTTCTTCCTCTCCATAGGCTCATGTCAAAGCTTCTTTCAGATGCTGACATAATGCTACTGCACACTGAAGAATTTGGCAACACGCAAAGGTTTCCACTTACAAGACAGAACTGCTGCTTTGTTAGTGTGAAAATATACAGGAAGGGTACATCTATTTCCACTTACTTCTGTCACAGTGAACTACCAGAGCTATTGACTGATTTAAGGGGCTGTTACTGGCTTCTACTGCTATGTGTACATTTTCACTACTCCACAGCCACCTGTGGTGCAAATCATTTTTGTTGCAGTAAGATGCAGAAAGAGCAAGTTTTAATGGCTAGAGCACTGTAATCAAATATCCAAGAGAATACGATTTCACCTGAAGACAGTAAAGCTCCATTTTACAGTGCCAGCTTAGTCTGTTTAACTTCCCTACTTATTTATTTGGCACCTTGTACAGGATGCAAAGTACTTGTGCTGCAATCTTACATACAGGACTTCTAGACAGATACCCTAGCAAATTTTTGCACGTAGCTCTAGCTCTAACCAAGGATAGTGCCCGCATTTCAGGAAAAGGCATATCTAAAAGCTGTTAAACTCAGCGTCTAGTAATATGCCATGAGGCCATTATTCAAGGAAAGATACTGACGGCAGTACTAAGAGAGAGCTATTCAGACTCCTGCCCAAGTGAATTCTGGGGATAAAAAACATCAGCTACCCAGAGTTTCTTCTTCACAAGTTTTTCTTTTGTTATTTTTTAAAGGGCCATTTCACATTATTCCACATATGTTCATGAGCATCATGCCTCCTCTCAAAGTCCTTTACCAATTTAAGATTTCTCTACAAACATGTCTGACCTTTCAGTTCCTAAGAAAAATTTTAAAATATCAAGAAATTACTAGTGAAAACCACCAGCTGGCAGTCCAGGTTAAAATCTCTCCACGTATCCACATGAGATAACCAAAAGTGGAAATGAAGACAATTTCTCTCCCATATCTCCTCCGAAGTGCTTTGTGGTAATGGTTACAATCAGAGCAGGGAGACACACAAAATCCAGCAGCTGCACCTATTCGGTTTCTGGCCTCCTCACGGCTGTCAGGAGGTGAAGGATGTCACTGCAGAGAAGCTTTACCGAAAGACACACCTGCTCTGTAAGAACTGCTGCCAAATTATCGCTGTCGGTCAACTGTAATCTCTACCATATTGGAGCTACTAACCTACATTTGAAACCCCTATCACTGCTAATCCCTTGAATCATCCAGTCCATCTAATGAGAGACAGGTGGAGTGGAACTCCTCCTGATTCTTCTAGCCAATCTCCTGCTCCATTACAGACAGGAAAATTATTAATTTCCAGTTACCTGGGAAATGAACGCCTACGCTCCTTCTGAATCTTTTTATATTCCAACAGTTCCTTGGCAGAATGGTTTGTAATCTCATCAAGTTTGTTTTTTTCTTTTCCCTGTTAAAAGAAGTTGCATCTTTATTCCAATTCTAATTTGACCTTTTTTACCAAAAGACACCAAGAAACAAAACACGGCCAATATGAGAAAATGTATACTGCATGCAAATGCAAAAGGTGGACATTCTATGTAAGCAAAAGTGCCGCGATTGAGAGACGGAGACCCAGCTCGATGCAAGTCAGGATCTACTTTATTGAACACAACAACCGATTTTATATTCCAAACAGACAAAGAGAGACATGTGTTTTAAGCTGATTGGCACAATGGTTAATCACCTAATACATATTACAAAAGTTGAGCTCATGATTGGCTAACGTCTAAGGTCAGCTTGACTTTTTCTGCAGTTAATTTTCTGCTAGCTCACAGCATTCTTCTTCTTAACAACTTGTTTCTATAGCACATGCTTATCTTTTGTTACGAAACCAGCCCTCCTGGAAGAAATCGTCCTTAGCCCCAGGGGTGTAACAGTTTGCTTACAGCTTATGCAAATTACGAGACGCCAAGTTGAGCACGTCCCTCCTAATCAGCTCTATCTCGCTGCTAGAAGGAGAGACCAGGCTGCCCCCGGCATCTCCCCCTTCTTGTTGCACAATAAGGACCCTTTTCACTGAACTGGCTATCAGGTTCTGCACACACTGCAAAAAACAGGGTAAACAAAGTAACAAAAGAATAAAAACTCTAAAGCATACACAATCATTTTTACAAGGCTTCTCAACCATCCTGATAGGCTTACTGTCTATCAAAGAACAATTCAGAAAATTAAAAACATATAAAGCTTTCTGAAGACGTTCCTCGGGGGTAACGGTCCCTATTCCCCCTTTTTGTTGTTGCAATAAGCGTTTCAGAGACTGATGAGAGCGTTCAATTAAGGATTGGCCCGTGGGGGAATGAAGGATACCCGTAATGTGGTTGATCCCCCAAGAACTCAAAAACTTTTTAATTGCAGTTGAAATATATGCAGGGCCATTGTCAGTTTTAATTTGAGAAGGTATGCCTAAAGTGGCAAAAGCACGCAGCAGATGTCGTTGAACATCGCGCGCCTTTTCGCCAGTATGACAAGAGGCAAATAATGCCCCAGAAAAGGTATCAATAGAGGAGTGAATATATTTTAAGTGACCAAACTCCGAAAAATGAGTGACGTCGGTTTGCCAAAGTTGCAAACTTTGCAATCCTCTAGGATTAACTCCTCCTGCTATTGTAGGAAATGAGTGCCTTTGACAATCGGGACACACAGCAACTATACTGGTTGCCTGCTGAGTAGTAAGGCCAAATTGTCGCTTAAGCCCACCAGCATTTTGGTGAAAGAAAGCGTGGCTAAGTTTTGCTTGTGTTATGCGGTCTGGCAGTACCTGTACTGGTAATGTAAGCAGGTCAGCTTGCCGGTTCCCTTCTGCTATAAAGCCAGGCAAGGAAGTGTGAGATCTGACATGCATAATGAAATAGGAATGAATGCGAGAATCTAAAAGAAAAATAAGCTCCTGTAACAAAGCAAATAATGCAAAATGTGAGACATTTCGTAACACAGACGCCTCAGCTCGTTCAACAATCCCTGCAACATAAGCTGAATCAGTGATGATATTAAGCGGTGTAGACCATTTTCTAAAGGCTCGGACGACGGCAGTCAGTTCCACGATTTGGGGGGAACCCGGCACTGTCTTTATATCCGATTCCCATTGTTTGCGCTGGTCGTCCCACCAGAGGATAACAGATTTGTGGGACTTCCCAGATCCATCTGTAAAAACAGTAAGAGCTTGCAAAGGCTGGTCACTCCTCTTTGGTCTAGGTACAAGCTGGAAATTAGCATTAAACAATTGATGAGAAGGTGGGTGAGAAGTGAGCTGGCCTGTATAACCAGCTATCGCTATACTGAAGGCTTCCGATTGTTGGTGAAGCCACTGCAAATAATCACTGACCATAGGCAAATAAATACAAGTGAAGTCCATTCCAGACAACATTAACAAGCGCCGCCTGGCACGGACAATCAAGGATGCAAACATTTCATGCTGTGTTGAGATGGTTTTCGTGGGTTGATTCGGTAAAAATACCCATTCAATGATAAGCAGCGGGTCAGACTCCTGCAAGTCCCATTGAAATATCAAGGCATGAGGCTGTCGAGCAGGATTCAAAATGATTAAAAGGAAAGGTAACTCAGGGGCATATCGATGTGCCTGTCTTAAGGTAATAGCTGTAGCAACTTTTTGTAAGGAATCAACAGCTGCAGGGTTGAGAGCGCGAGGGGAACATAAGTCTGTGCTCCCCTTAAGTAGGTCGAATAAAGGACTTAAATCTGCATTGGAAATTCCTAGCAAAGGTCGGACCCAATTAATTGTTCCCAACAACTTCTGCACATCATGCAAAGTCCTCACATCTGCTTGAATTAGTAAAGGCTGTGGGACTATAGTTTGAGCCCGTATGCGCCAGCCTAGATATTTCCATGGTGGTATTTTCTGAACCTTTTCTGGTGCAACACAAAGACCTGCTGAATTAACAGCAGTTATGACAAGGGCTACAGCTTCCTCCATGACTTCGTGATGTTGTGCTGCCACTAGAATATCATCCATATAATGGTACAATAAAACGCAGGGCATCTTTGTTCTAACAGGGCTAAGGACCTTGGCTACATACCATTGGCATATTGTGGGACTGTTTTTCATTCCTTGTGGTAGCACAACCCACTGATATCTCTGCAATGGAGCTTGCATGTTGACGCTTGGAACTGAAAAAGCAAATTTAGGAGAATCTTCTGGATGCAAGGGGATATTAAAAAAGCAGTCCTTGAGGTCAATGACTGTCAGAGACCAGTCCCGGGGGATCATTGTGGGAGAAGGGAGCCCTGGTTGCAGGGCTCCCATGTCTTCCATAGCGTCATTAATTTTTCTGAGGTCATGGAGCAAGCGCCACTTGCCAGTTTGTTTTTTAATCACAAAAACAGGTGAATTCCAGGGGCTTACAGAGGGCACAACATGTCTTTTGGATAACTGTTCATCAACTAATTCTTCCAGGGCGCGAAGCTTTTCTAGCGGCAGGGGCCATTGATCCACCCAGACAGGGGTATTAGTTTTCCAGGTTAATTTCAGGGTGTCGCGCACCTCAATGGCCCCTCCTAAAAATGCGTTTGAATAGCCATTCCCCATTGTGACAGTGCATCACGTCCCCATAAGATCATAGGCACAGGTAGCACAAAGGGCTTAACAGAGGCCACATGCCCCTCCGGGCCCAGTATCTGAATGAGCTCTAGGCTCTGGTGACTATTTCCAGCACCTCCAATCCCTGCTAAGGTCTGAGAAACATTGGCCAGAGGCCATTGTGGGGGCCATTTAGCCTGGGAGATCACCGTAACCAGAATCACTATTCTAACATCCACTTTCGGTGCCAATCTCCTGCTGTAGTAGTGATAATAATGCCTGTAATACTCTTCAGGATGATCCAACATGTAGTCATAATCTTTGCGCATTTCTTCATCCGGAGCGGCTCCGGCCGCGGCGGCGGTCCCCGCTCTCTCACCTTGAGCGTCTCGTAGGCGGTGGCGATGAGGAGGAACTTCTCGTGTGCCGCCTGCGGGCCGCCGCCCAGCGCGGCCGGCTCCCCGCGGTAGCGGTCGGGGTGGTACTTGCGGGCCAGCTGCCGGTAGGCGCGGGCGATCTCCGCCTTGCTGGCCTGCCGGCTGACGCCCAGCACCTCGTAGCACACCCGGCGGCCGCAGTACAGCCCCTCGGTGAGGCCCCGCGCCGCCGGCAGCAGCAGCGCGGCGCACACACAGAGGCACAGCAGCCGCCGCCGCCACGCCGGCACTGCGCGCCCGACCGCCGCCGCCGCCGCCATTTCGCTGCCGCCACCGCCCCCGCGCTTCCACATTATCTATCTGGCGCTCTAAGGCTTGCTTTAATCTGTCAATAAATTGCATATAAGGCTCCCGAGGTTCCTGAGTAATGGTAGTAAAAGCCTTTTGTGGCTTTTGAGAGTCAGGTATTTTAAGCAGAGCCTTCTTTGCTTCATTCCGCGTGGCGTCAAGCGCTTCCCGCGGAATATCCCTCGCCTGAGCCACCGGGTCCGTGTGCTGGCCAGTACCCGTAAGATGCTCAATAGTCAATGCAGCAAGAGCAGGATTATTATGGCCCACATAGGTTAGTAAAAGCGTTTGGAGTCCCCTCCCCCATTGCGACTCCCATAGCGAATACTGTGTGGGGTTAACAGCAACTGTGCGAGAGATTTGAGGTCATGCGGAGTCATGACATAAGTATCTAAGACAGAAGATAACAAACTCGCGAAATATGGGGAAGAGAGGCCATGCTCGGTAACAGTACAGCGCAACTCCTTCACCACAGGGAAGGATAATGCCTCCCATTGAGCCCCCCTCCCCTGATAGATAACAGGAGCAACTTTTTTTCGCAAGTTGCAAGTCCCCCTCTTTCAGAGCTTGTCGTTTAATATTTGCCCATACGTCCTGGGGATCGGGAGGGTAGAGATCTGGCTCCTCCTCTGGGTCCACTGGTCCTGGATCAAAAGGATCATCCTCTGGGGGGTACTTGGCGGCACCCACCTCGAGAGGCTCCGAGGTCTTCTTATCGACCGGGAGACCTTTCCTGTCTTTAGTGTCTTTATTCTTAACGGTCTCCTGAGCCTTCAGAGTTTCAAAGATAGTCCTCCACCACGGGAGCATGCGCTGTGCTTCAGCATTCCCTGTTGTAGCCGCGTCCCACAGCTTAACCCCCACGTCATCCCAAAGCTCAGTCGTTAATATACTGGAAGCAGTTACAGTGGGGATTTTCACTTGTACCCACTTGAGCATAACCTTAAGATCTTGCCCAGAGAGATTCTTTTCATATTTTTCAAGAAGGGCTTTCATAAGTTCGTACACGTCCCTCTCTGGGGAAGACACCTGACTTCCCATGTCTCCCACAGCTCACCTCACAACTCCGGAGGGATCCTTAATGCCGGCTCCTGCTTCCTTTCAGCAGCTCATTCAAAGTTCTGTGGGACTCGCAGCATGCCACGCAGATAGGTGGTTCTTAATCCCGAATCACGTCGGGGTCACCAATTTGCCGCGATTGAGAGACGGAGACCCAGCTCGATGCAAGTCAGGATCTACTTTATTGACACAACAACCGATTTTATATTCCAAACAGACAAAGAGAGACACGTGTTTTAAGCTGATTGGCACAATGGTTAATCACCTAATACATATTGCAAAAATTGAGCTCATGATTGGCTAACGTCTAAGGTCAGCTTGACTTTTTCTGCAGTTAATTTTCTGCTAGCTCACAGCATTCTTCTTCTTAACAACTTCTACTCCTGTTTCTATAGCACATGCTTATCTCTAGTTACGAAACCAGCCCTCCTGGAAGAAATCGTCCTTAGCCCCAGGGGTGTAACAGTTTGCTTACAGCTTATGCAAATTACGAGACGCCAAGTTGAGCACGTCCTTCCTAATCAGCTCTATCTCGCTGCTAGAAGGAGAGACCAGGCTGCCCCCGGCATGAAAAGGCGTATTTTTGTAAACCTTTAGAGTATAAATTGGGAAAGAAATGGGGAATTCATAAATTCCTTTATATGCCTAACTCCCCAAAAGCTCTCCTGGGGAGGGACTTGCTGGAACAACTGGAAGCAAAAGTTGTCTTTGAAAAAGGGGAAGTCACCTTGGAGGTAAAAGATCAGCAGTACATTCAAGTGCTGAGTCTAACTCTAACTAGTTTTTCGTCAGGAGGAGAAATTAGTGAGGAAATTTTAGACCAAGTATATCCGGGAGTTTGGGCTACCGATGTACCTGGAAGGGCGAAAAACGCTCTACTGATTGAGGTTAGGATCAAGGAAGGTCAACGACCAGTGAGAATTAAACAGTATCCTTTAAAAAGGGAGGATAGGGAAGGAATCCGACCAGTAATAGAAAAATTTTTGCAATTAGGGTTACTAGAAGAGTGTGAGTCTGAGTTCAATACCCCTATACTGCCCGTTCGGAAACCTGATGGGTCGTATAGAGTGGTTCAGGACTTACGGGCTGTGAATAGAATAGTTGAAGATCTCCACCCAGTGGTAGCAAACCCATATACCCTGTTAACTGTATTAACACCAGAGTTGATTTGGTTTACTGTCTTAGATTTGAAGGACACCTTCTTTTGCCTTCCTCTCCATAAAGCCAGCCAAAAGTTGTTTGCATTCGAATGGGAAAATCCTAAAACTGGTCGAAAGACCCAGCTCACCTGGACGGTGTTGCCACAAGGGTTCAAGAATAGCCCTACTCTTTTTGGCAACCAGCTTGCAAAGGACTTGGAATCCTGGGAAGCCCCATCCAAAAAAGGAAAATTATTGCAGTACGTGGACAACATTTTGATTGCTACTGAGACAGAAGAGGACTGTGCAATGTGGACGGTGAGCTTGTTAAATTTTTTGGGACTACAGGGGTATCGGGTCTCTAAGAAGAAAGCCCAGGTGATACAACGTAAAGTAAACTACCTGGGCTATGAGATCACTGCGGGGCAAAGAACTTTGGGACAGTCCCGTAAGGAGGCCATATGTCAAACCCCGAAACCTCAGACAGTAAAAGAATTAAGGACCTTCTTGGGAATGACGGGGTGGTGCAGGCTATGGATCTATAATTATGGACTGCTTGTTAAGCCCCTGTATGCGCTAACGAACACCGAACAGACGCACCTCGAATGGGATAAGGAGGCTGAGCGAGCCTTCGATTCACTGAAGAAGGCTTTGATGTCGGCCCCGGCTCTAGGACTCCCAGATGTGAGTAAACCGTTTCTTCTCTTTTCTCATGAGAAGCAGGGCATTGCCCTGGGAATACTGGCACAAGACCTAGGTCCATACCGACGAGCTGTCGCCTACCTCTCTAAACAACTAGATGCGACTGCAAAAGGGTGGCCTGGGTGTCTGCGAGCAGTTGCTGCCCTGATACTGAACATACAGGAAGCTCGGAAGTCCACTCTGGGCCAGAAAATGACTGCCTATGTGTCACATACAGTGTCGGCAGTCCTGGAAGCAAAGGGAGGGCATTGGCTCTCCCCACAAAGATTTCTGAGATACCAAGCTGCACTAGTAGAACAAGATGATGTACAGATAATAGTCACTAATATTGTCAACCCAGCTTCTTTCCTCAGCGGTAACATGGGGGAACCAATGCACCATGACTGCTTGGAAACAATTGAGGCGACATACTCGAGTCGCCCTGACCTGAAGGAAAGCCCCATGAAGGATGAGGAGAACTGGTTCACGGACGGAAGCAGTTACGTCCTGAACGGTAATCGACACACGGGGTATGCCGTTACCACCAGTCAAAAGGTAATAGAATCAGGACCTCTTCCTGCAAATACTTCTGCACAAAAGGCAGAAATAATGCTTTAACTCGAGCCCTGGAACTGGCCAAGGGTAAGATCATAAACATATACACGGACTCCAAATACGCTTTCGAATTGTGCATGCACATGGAGCAATCTGGAAAGAAAGAGGACTATTGAACTCCCAAGGGAAAAACATCAAACATGCGGAGGAAATTTTTAAACTATTAGAAGCTGTTCAACTTCCTGAGAAGGTGGCGATTATGCATATTAAAGCACAC